TCAAAAAAAGGTCTTTTCTAACAGACTCATGAACACATCCAGAAAAGAAAACTTGCAAACTTGGTATTTATGTCAAACCCTGCTCCAGCTGTTGGGAGTTCCAAGGGCTCTGTCTGCTTGTCCAGGGCACAGCCAGCATCACATTACAGCTTACACAGCCACTGCAAAGGTGCTTCTTCCAGGGGTTATTCTCAAACATTTGCAGTGCATTGTCCCCAACATTTGCAGAGAAATACTGGGTGCTACAAAGGAGTAAGGGCTCATCTTGGACTGCAGCTCACATCCCTGCTTTTCCTACAATGACACAGTACAGGTATGTAGCAGTGCCCAGCTCTGTGTGGCACTTGCCATCCAGGGCTCCCAAAGTACTTTGTAAGGGAGGTCTGCTGCAATTTTCCTCTTACAGAGCAGGAACCTGAAACATGGCAATGAAGTGATCTGCTCCTGCTGACAGGGGACTGTCAGAAAAGGTAACGAAGCTGCAGTACAGGGCTCTACCCACAACACAGCAGAGCACACATTGGAAACTGAAGTACCTTGCTGAAAAGCCCACAAGACTCCCTGAGTGATAAGTAACCCAAAGCCAGCTCTACCTCCACACTCAGCAAGGCAGCAAGACTACAGGATTCAGCAGTAAGTACAAATGCAGAGAAGAACTGGTTCCCAAATGGCTGCTGGAAGGCGATTGTGCAGCTAATGTACCAGAAGCCCAAACCACAAAGGGTAAAGTTAAATGTTGAAGAGGGCACGGTTGAAGTATGATTTACAGTCTAATAAGATGGAGACAACTGTGAGAACATTAGCACTGAGCTGTAGTCGTGCCACAATTACAGCCTCACTAGCCCACAGCCAACATACTTGCACTGCAAAGTGCATGGGAACCCAAAAGAAAGGAAAAGAAGGAAAGCAATCAGAAATGATGAAGTAGGTGAATACTTTTATTTTCAGAATCTGCTAAGCTTGATTTAAAAATTCAGACAATTTCCTGCCACAGATCATCAAGGAAAGGGTGGGGAAGACACACCTGCATTATCTTGTCAGGGACCTTTCGGTGCAGAGGTCAGATGGAGCCACATTTTTTCCACGTTTCCATGTTTTTTATGATGTGGTCATTTCAAGCCCATTCGCTGGCTGAGGGCAGATACTACATTCCTGGCTGCAGGTCTTTTGCAGGCCAAGGACTCCCAGAAGCACAGCAAGGACTCATGTGTCTTTTGCTGCCAGGAAAGTATGTGCATTTGTGATTTCATGCCACAAGCTGTTTGCAAAACAACTCCCTGCAACGTCCCCAGAGCTATTATTCTTAGTAATTTTTACATCTCTCTTTACATTTCTACCTTAAGGTCAAATAATTATGGTGAAATATGACCAAATCCAGATTTGCCTCCAGATCCTACAGTCTTCTCTAAACAAAAGCTTCCACACCAATGTATTAAGCATCTGTCAAAAAAACCCCATTTATATTACTGTTGCTTCCTAGTCCCAAAAATGCATAATCCCTCCTACCATACAACACACTTGTATCACACTAGACTCAACAGTCCTGGTACAGAAATTAGCTGTGGTACCAAGACAATGAAGTTTTGCACAAGGAAAGCACCAAGACTGCTAAGATGGGAGTTGCTGCAGCAGCAACACACCCTTAAGTTACTAGACCTGGAGAGACAACCCCCTGCAGTGCTTCACCCATGGGAGGCAAGTTCATCCCATTTCCCTTTTTCCCAATCTCATGAGGCTTCAGATAAGCCACGATGAGTTTCAGCAAGTTGGCAGCTGTGCTGTGGTGCCAAGGACCCATACAGGTGAGACAACACTTAATTGAAGTAACTTGCCTGGTGACTTTAAGAGGCTTTCTTTGTGATTACGTCTGCCACAACCCTGCCATCGCCTACAAACACTGAGAACATTTAAAATACATTAGCTGTTCTTCTCAGAGCGATGGGGACTGAAATCCACATCAAACATTAGTGCTGGCTTGCCAGGAAATCAAATTTTAATCACACACATTTACAGGAAAAAAATAAAAATGTCTCAAAAGGATGTTTCATCAAAGACCTATTTGCTGCTAAAGAAACCTTACTCTTAAGTACTACATTCCAGACATCTCAACAGCTATCTGCATATGTATCAAGGCTGTAGGGTTGTGGTTTTGGGGTTTGTTTGGGTTTTTGGTTAACTCTAGCACTTCCTAGAGAGAAGGAGAGAGGGAACCACTTCTGAACAGCTTATCTCTTGGCATTGTTATCCCCTCCCATGCAAACACTTACCTGAAATACTTCATACCAGAACAAAACAATGGGAAACAAGTAAAATCCCCAATCCACTATTATTTAAGTCCATTTTCCACTCGATGACTATAAAATTGCTAAGCTATTTTTTTTGCCTTTTTTTTTTCCTTCTGTAGAATAAGCAGCAGCCTGCTGCAGCAACTGTTCCCCTCTGTGAAAAGCCCATGCCAGCTTGCTCCCTGGGTCTGATGAGAAGTGGGACCTGAAGAACAGCCCAACAGGTTAACATGGCAATAGTTTTTCCATGGGTTCCCAGTGAGCACACTTGTCATGGGAGAACCTGTGGCTTCAGAAATTCAACAGTGCTGCAGGTGAGCTCTGCAAAAGAGCCAACAAATCAACAGTTTCATGATTCTTCACATTTCAGACTCCTGCAGTCCTGAAGTGGTACCTTAGGCATACCCTGAATTACAGCAGGGCTGCTCCTGGCAGGCAAACCCTCTGTGCCATTGCCATGTGCTTCTGGCAGATCACATGCAGGGAGCTGTGCAATGACAGACTGTTGCCTATAATTTCCATGGTTTGTTAATATCGTTCTACCTGTAAGGAAGTGAAGTGAGAGGAGACACGAACAGATGGGAATGAGGTGGCACACGGACACTGTTGCCTATGTGTATTGCCTGATCAAAACAAGAGCCAGACCAGCAGATGCTTCATATCAGCAAACACTTCTCAGGCAATTGGGTCAAAAATT